ACTCAGGCAATCGAAAAACCGTATCAGCTCATCTTTAAGCCAACATATGGATATTATTTGAGAAGTCGATTGTCAGGATTCAAATAATGACTCACCTCATCTACACCAGTCAAGGGGTTCAGATTGGAGCAATTGGTGAGCAGACAGTTGAGGAAATGCGCCACTCCAACAGAAAGTAGCATCGGATCAACTTCTTGTAAATATTGTTTGAAAACATGCTTTGCCGAACGAATCAAAATTTCTATGACTGCTATTCTCTGGGGGAAAAGTAAGATGAATACGTAAATGGAGGTTGTTATAATTTAACTCAAAAGCTCCAGAATGCATCTGATTTGTGTATACAGAACAGGCAATGAGCACTCACTTTTTCATTTTAGATAACTCAATTTCTCACTGAGGAGAACACGGCTGTCAACGAAAGACATTTATTGCGAAATTATTCCCAAATAAGTAGTCGTGAGAACACAAGCTGGCAAACAAGCTCGTTTTCGGTGCTAGATTAACTGGCTAAATATCGCACAATTTATAGTGGATTACAGAGTGGGTGAGAGGAGACGCATCTGTAAAATCTGTTGATGTAGCCCCAAAAACGAGCTTATTAGCTCATTTGTGTTCTCATGGAATACAGTTGAGTTGATGTCGCTGATCACTACTAAGCTAACAGAGCATGGTTGACGAGGATTGGAGAAATTTTGAAGAAAGTGAACCTCAATGATCAGCACGAATAGTGCACAAACCAACTACGCACGCACAGATTTTCGAGCATTCTGGTTTGATAGTGACAAGAACGCCATTGCTCTCGGCTCGCTATCACTTCCCTCATTCCTTTAGACCCCAACCAGGAAAACGAGACACCGACTCTAAATAATCGCTCTATGCAATTTGCATCGCGTCATCTGTTAACCTTCACACGATTTTCTGAAGTTGGGAAGGGACAATCGCAACTAATACATTCGAAAAAACAGATGTATGACGGAGCTCCGTAATACCAACGTAGAACGAGAACCGCGGTAGTATCCCATTCTCACTGAGAAGATGTTTCCCAAACCGATGTAGGCTTTTTCTGGTAGCTCATCAATTCTATTCCCAGACTTTTTTGGGACCCATGTGTGTCGTTGACCCTGATGTTAGCCGACCATACAGGAGTCAGCGAAGGTAGTGCTTGTTGTATCTACTCAATCTGTTGCAACAATACTTACTGATCCTTCAGAAAATTTTCCGAACTCAAGTTCCGATCAGTGGGATCTTATCGCTGTCGCGGAAACCTTGAAATCAGTTGTCGCTCTTCATTTTGAACTATGGTTACCGAGTATGTGTTTATTAAGATATGATGGTCCAAGACGGAGTGGTGGCGTTATTTTTTTCGGGACCATCTTCAACACGAGGCAACCTATATTTCAACTTCTCGGACTTGGTTATGGTTACCTAAGCACTGGACCAGCCCATTATCTCAAAGTCAGCCAACGAAACCCCATTTCAAACCGCGTTACACATTCTCACCCAACCATCGAATCATGTTCACAAAATTGACCATTTCAACTCCCCCCAAGCTAAGTAAACCAATGACCGACCGTTCAACATTCAAACATAAGTTCCAATAGATGATTAACTCACATCTACTGTACAAGTGAGAGTGGTTAACTGGTTTGAAAACACGTAATCATCATTTATACAAGAACCAATATTGACAAGCGAGGAGCTATGGTAGAATCCAAGACTGTTGCACAGTCTGACGCAATGACCATGCCACTATTCGACATTTTTACACTTTTATTCGTCTCAGAAACGACCACTGCGCCTCTACAAAGTAAGTGAAATTTAAGATTGGATTTTTCAATGGCAACGCCTTCCCATCGCTAGACGTTTGTGCACTAATAAATAAACCTTTCAATGGGAGAATTTACGAAACGTTGATGGGCCTCATACTCCAACACTGGCAAAACCACATAAAACGACAGAATGAAGTTGAATGTGACATTTTTATGCTCGGAACTATATCTGACAGTTCATATTTTTGACGGTATAAAAAGTATAAGAAAAAAATCTATCCAGAAATGACTTACTTTGAGATATAAAAGAGACGGTTTCTGATTCAAACACTCGATCACGCGATTCAGATAGCGCACGTTGATACCCCTGGATTGACAGAGCGGAAGGGTGCACATGAAAGTTCGATATTAAGATAACGAACAACCAGGACATGTCGGACAAAAATAAACACTGGGTCACCCACAATCAGTTTCGGTTTTTTAAAACCATTACCCTTGCACTTTCGTGCGTCGGTTCCGGATGCGGGTCTTTTGGTTACTCACTTGTATGAAGGGATAGAAGAGTAGAAAGCGAGAGCAGTGTCCCAGAGAAAATAGGGAATTCCGGTCGCTCAATATTGCAAAGAGACTGAGATGCACCGTTTACGAGTATCGTCAACTATTGACTACAATGATCTAAATATCCTCATCCAGGAATCCCAAGGTCATCTACTTGAGCTAGTCTCCTGGTCATATATACCTTAAAAAACGCTACTACAGGACTGGGTTGGTTCAGTACCCAGTCTCACTCTAACTGAGGAAGTAATAGAGCAAGTGAATGAGTGTTGTTGTTTGGGCACATCTCATCTGGTTAAAGCATCACGGATGAAGTGTCCGCTCGCATACAGAAGGTTTGGTTAGCATTTGCTAACTTGAAACATCTGTGGCGCCGTCGTAACATCCGGCTGTCTGTTAAGGGTTGAGTGTATGCCGCAACAGTCCGGCCAGTTCTCCTATACGGTGCAGAAACTTGGCCATTAAGAAAACAGGATAAAGATAGACTGTCGGTGTTTGAACACCGCTGTCTACGCAGCATTGCACGAATCTGGTGGGGTAGCCGGAGGAGCAATGATATGGCTGTGTCGTAAACAGTGACGTTCGTGCATCTTGTCAATTTCCTTGCAATATTAGTCCACTGAAATTCTAACTTTTATCTTCGAACGTGCTTTCAACGTTTTCTGTCTTTCTACCGATGTTCATCCAAATGGGCAACCAAAAGACAGCAACCAAAACCGGCGCACGATAGTGCATGGTTAATGGATGTACAAACTGAACTAAAGTGAACTGAACTAATAGAGTCAAATTCATAATCCAACGCATATTTCAGTGTGGACATATGTGTATAGTGAATAGCTTGACGCCAACTTTTGCTTTTATTCGCAATTGCGCTGTCATAAACCTGATTTCGGTGTAGTTCGAATCAATCACTGCAAAGCGATTTGATCTTGCTCAGTTATTTGGAAGCATCCTTTTTGTATCGTGCCCGTGTGCCTTAATGCGTCAATTCTAGTAAAGCTGACTGCTTTTCACTTCAGACTACGAAGGAAGGCAACATTTAAATTTCAGCTACATGTAATTTGACGAGCAAGACTACCAACAAATTCTCAAGGAACTTCATGATCATGTCTGGAGCCAGTTTATCCTTCCCAAGGAGCCAGCCGCAGCAAAGTAAGTACCAACGAACGGTCCAAAATTGTTATACACAGATAAATTGCTGGAGTTGAAGATTGATGTGAGTTGGTTGCGTTTTTCCATCATGACCCATGACACCATTAAACGTCCCATTGCATTTCTTTCTTATTGTAGTTGAATAAGTATGAACGTGTATGGAGGCGAGAGCACATAACTGAGAGCGATCGAGAAAAAAATCTGAATTTCATGATTTCATGATCTGGACCAGTATTGTTTATGGAGTATGCGAAAACGGTGAATATCGTAGGAGAGATGAAAACAAGGAAAGCAACTATGCTACGTTCGGGACTGATTGGCTGCAGTATCTCAATTGTCTTATTCAAATAAAACTTGAAATACTTTACGATAGTCAGATTCGAAACGATAAATCGAGTCGCGACTACAACCGATGTGTTTAGCGCAGGTCAGATAGGCTGTAGTAATAAAACCAGGGCATTTGTTTAGACAACATAGTATACACATATGTATACATATATACACGCACACAGGCACACATAGACGTGCACGTCAACAGCGAATACCACCGAGGAACAATGTGACGGTCGCGGCGTAGCGCGTAAACGATGCTTTGTGGCTCGGCCGAAGGTGCGACCAGCGGCTCACATAGGATATAGCAAGACATGACAAGGTACCAAAAATCGAATAGTTTTCCAATGCCGATCGATTCCAGTTGACGTGTGCAGCGACGGTTAGTGTATCAAAACTGAATCGGTAGCATAGAACCGAAGCAAGAACAATAACTACTTCGGTTTCAGTTTTTACAACTAATAACCATACATTTTCATGCGCCGGTTTTGGCTTCCCGTTCAGATAAAAGAACAGAATGAAGACTAAAATGCTGGGAGCACAAATAGAGAGAAGCAAGATAGTTCATATAGTCTGGGGTTAAAGAACGCACAGTCGGCCAATAACCTGAATCCAGTCAAGTGAACACAGCCTTGTTACTTGAGGCAATCCCGAGACAGCAACACAGTGGGCTTAGCTTGACATACTGAGAGTCAATATATATATTAACATTTATCACCGGTTTGTGAGCAAGTTTGGTGACAACGCAACAAGATTAACAGTACATGAGGGATTGGGATACAAAGCCCAATAAAGGGGGACAGACAGTTAAGTTTAATATCAAGAAGAATTTTTTGGTTGTTTTGCCGTAGACTTGATATTTTTGTTATAGTTTATTCTTGTTTTCTATGAGGGCATGGAATTTCAGCAGGCGTACACCATTCGCGCCACTGACGATTGGATTGGAGCGATTGGATAGTCAAAGGAAACCAGTAGTTACCCAAGCTTCTAGGCTTGTGAGACGGAGCTCTTTGTGGCATCCACCCATTGACCTTTCAGGGATGTTTGGATCTACGGTTGTGAGAAGCAATCCTGTATGGCTCTCAGGGTCATGGAGGCACGCAAGCAATCACATCATGCCAAGGTGCAGTCTCGGCGTGATGGAATAATACCTACTATTCACATAAGAGAATAAATAACGGTTTGGACTCAAAAAATTGCGATATTTAACTTTAAAAAGCCATCGACCAGCAATTTGCAGTCTGATGTAGGTTAAATGGATGTTGGATCGAAAATAAGCAACTTTGGTGCAAAGCACATCCCTATTGACGACATATAGGATCGACAGTATACGTCCGAACAAGCAGGAACTGTGACCTTAATTATCAAAAATTATAAAAACAGAGCTTGTCACTGTGTTCATCTGTAAAGCAGAGGGCTCTGGAATGGGGGTAGTAATCAAAAATCAGATGTGATTTTCCATCATTAGTCTGATATACATGTGGCTTTGTAACGTCACGATTGTGAAACAACTATGTCCTGAACAGTGCGTTGTAGGGGAAGCTCGGTTAAGAACGATTCTGATGTCAGTCGTTCCAAAAAAATTCTTACAAAAACGATGGCGGCATACTTGCGATTTATTCAAATGGTTCAAAAATCTGTAATTTACCGTTGATGTAAGATTTCGACCAGGGCACGACCATCTTGCGGTGTGACACAGAGACTGAGGCAATCCTTCACGAGATTCGGAATTTGTTTTGTTACCAGAAAATCGCATGCGCCACATACCAGCGCTTGATCAGCTTTCAAAGCTTCAGTCTATTTTGAAAGAAAAAAGCGTATTTGTTGCAAAATATCATTAGGTTAGTCAAAGAAAATCTAGTAAATTTAGTATATGACAAAAGCTACAAGAAACAGATCTGACCTGCCGTTCGTATGAACGATGAACCACTGACCGAAATAAATTAGATCTACTCACATACGATGAATGTATTTTCTTTGGTTAATTGATCACTTGTGAGCACTAAATATAGTAATTTTCGAAAATAATACTACTTTAATTGGGCCCGATAAATCACCATGAATTTGAGAGATTAGCAGCATGCGCTTACAACGAACGAGATCATGGCGAAAGAATGAGCCCACATTTGATGGTAACAAACACGTTGAATTGGAAAACGAATCCCGGAGAAAAAATGAGACGCACCACGATTAAATGAAACATAAAGGAATGATTGCATTCAAAGCTGCTGGACAGATTGAATGATAATGATGATAATGCGTTCACACCGAAACACTCAACACCTACTATTGTTTCACACATCTTTCTATGTTATTGAATAACTAGCAACAGATTTCTAACTGAACTATAGGTACCCGAACTTATAGAAGTCATAAAAAACAAGGAATACAAGAATAACACTATGAACGAAATACGAAAACCAAAACGACAGATCACGAAGGGCTTGGGTGACGTGTAAAAACAGTTTACGGACAATCACCTCGTTCAATGAGGTACAAGTGAAACGATGGTATTGATCGTATCAAGAAGAACAAAAAATGAACAGCGCGATGGGTAGCATCAAATTCTTACCTCAGATTCACAAAATTTGACGAATTTCTGACAAATGTCTGGGTTGAAAAGCAACTCAAATCGATCTTCGCATGTTGAACCTACAGCTTTGGCAGCCTTTCTAATGGCCTCGTGGGTGAGTTCCTCTGAAATTGACAGAAATTATTTTTGAACGAACAATCATTGTCCAAAGCACATAGTATCTGTTACCCACAAAATTGGTGTGGGAAGAAAGTTTCGAAATATCAGCTGATATGGTTCTACCAATTAACGATATTTGAAATGAGTTAGCCTATGCTTCACTGACATC